CAGGGATTAATTCAGTGGTAGAGTACTTGCCGAGCATGCTTCAGGTCCAGGGTTCAATCCTCAGTACCTCCCCCACCACAAACACACACACAAAAATGAACAAGACAAATGAACAGAGCCTCAAAGATCTGAAGCTCAACATTAAGTGTACCAACATATATATGATAGTTCCAGAGTSAGAGAAGAGAAAGGGGAAGAAACAATACTTAAATAATACCCTAAAACTTGCCAAACTTCATGAAGAACATGAATCTACACAGGCAGGAAGATCAAGCTCCAGGTGGTATAAACTAAAAGAGATCCATACCTAGACACATCATAAATTGTTAAAGAGTAGGGCATGTGCCGCAGTCTGGCTGGGCACAAATCACGAGCCACTCAAGCAGGAACAAACTTTATTTCTGAACTCCACCAGCACATTCCACACACACTCCCCGGGAACTCTCCCACCCACGCYGCTCCTCCAGGAACACACCACCAACTGGAACTCCCACCACCGGAACTTCACCAACCAACTCTCCAGGAATCCCCGGGAGAGCTCAAAAGTACTGGCAAAATGCTAGCCGCCATCCCAACTCGGCTGTGGCTCTCAACAGGCAAGGTGGCACACGCCTACAATTCCAGCAGCTCAAGAGGCTCAGAGAGGAAGCTCCTAGGTTCAAAGCCAGCCTCAGCAATTTAGGGAGGCCCTAAGCAACTCAGCAAGACCCTGTATGTAAATAAACTATAAAAAGGGGGCTGGGGAATATATATCACTTGGTAAAGTGCTTACCTTGCATGCACAAGGCCCTGGGCTCAATCCCTAGCACCACACACACACACACACACACACACACAGAGCTGGAGATGTGGCTCAGTGTCTAAGCACCCCTGGGTTCAATCCCTAATACCCAAAACAAACAAATGAAAGGCAAAGATGGGCCAGAGATTAGATCAGTGATAGAGCATTTGGCTAATGAACACAGGACCCTGGTTCTATCTCCAGTGCTTCTGCATACTCATACACACACACACACACACACACACACACACACACACACACACACACGGCTAAAGGAGTGTACTTATAGTGTGCTCTAGACTTAACCTAAATTTCCATCTCATCAATTTCAAGACAGTACTCAACTGATACCTTCTTAAACTTTCACTAAAAACCCAATTATCATACATCCAAGATGTGTGTAACAAGACTAAAATGACATTCTGCTGCAAGCCTTTGACCAAGTTGCTTAACCTCTTTGATATCCACTTGCAAAATGGGGACAGTAATTATACTTGTCTGACCCTAGGGAACTCATTCCAGGCTACCCTGTTTTTATTCTTGTGATATTGGGWATGGAACCCACAGTATCCTGCATGTCAGGCAAGCACTCTACTAGTGAATTATATCCTCAATCACCTTTGCCCCTTCAGTACCTCCCCACCCCCAGCCCAGTACTGGGGGATTGAAAACAGGAGTACTGAGCTACATCCCAGCGCTTTTTTGAGATAGGATCTCCCTAAGTTGCC